TCGACGCGGTCTTTGAGCTTGACGAGCTCGAGCCAGGAACGCACTGAACAGATCGTATCAGTTGCACAAAAAAAATAAAGTTTTCGACAGCTTGCCTGAGAAAAGTACAGGTTTGTGATCTGACAAGCATCCCCAGCTGTGCAGCAAGTCGGGTCAGTCCAGCCGCTTCCTCCTGTTGCCTTAATGCCGAGTCAGCCAAAGTCAAATCAGTATTAAATATCCCATCAAACACCAGCACAAGCTTGGCGCTGCTCGAGATTGCTGGGCGTTGCAGAGCAGGCAAGAGCACCTCCCAGGATCAAAATCATGGTGGTGTTCATTGTGGGGCTGAAGAGATTAGATCAGTCATCAGCCCGCCTTTATCTTTTTAAAAATGCTGATTGCATTAAGGGTGTACACCCGTTCTTCAATGCAAATACCAAATTTATTGCATTTGCATAGCATCCTGTGCCCAGATCAGCAAGGTTCCATCACTACCTCATTGAAAATTTTGTGATTCTCAAATTTATCTCACCAGCGCCACGCTGCTCACTTTCCGGCAGGGTAGATGCAAGACTCGGTGCTGCTGCGTATTCCCGGCTCGAAGGAGTTCGTTCCCGCTACATTGACCCTGAATCGCTTCGACATATCATGTTCGGAAGAACAGCACACGCATCATAATGGCCACATCGGGAGCTTCCCCCTCTTGTTCGTGTTCGCCATCACTGCCCTTCACCCTGGGCCGAACGTTCCCAAAACGGATGCTGATATTGGAAAGGAAGTCCTCCGCTCTTCTACCAGCAAGCCCGAAGACCGTAACTTGCGTCTTCTTAAAGAAGCCGTGACTCTGCTCCATGATTCGGAATCTGTCCCCGACACCCCAATCGGGTTTATCATTCACACGATCGTCACACCTCCGAAGAAGAAGTTTTCTCATATTCGACCTTACTACGATCCTGTTGTTGTGCTTGCGAATGCAAATATCGTCACAAAGTGGATCCTCGGGGTTAAGAATGCATTGCGCAGCTTTGGTGAAGGTTTGGGTCAACATTATCGAGCGACTTCAGCTTCTTACGCTTACTTTTAATTTCATTTAGATAATCGCCGGCGCAAGTTGATGATCCTGTACAACCCCTTTGGCGGAACTAACCAAGCCAAGCATCGTTGCGATAACTTTGTTCGACCTATGCTAGATCTGGCGGGAGTTGAGTACGATGTGCAAGGTGCGTAGTACATAACGCATTTCGAACTCTTCAATCTAATTCAATGTGTCAGAAACCCAGTTCCCCGGCCATGCAACTGAGTTTGCACACGTCGTCGATACTTCTGTGTACACTGATTTGATTTGTATCAGTGGAGACGGACTTCTACATGAAGTTATCGACGGTTTGCTCCACAGAGAGGACTGGGAGACCACAGTTCAGAATCTTGCGGTTGGTTACGTCGGGTCTGGAACCTCCAACGGGATGGCTAGAACATTGGACGTTCCCTTTACCGAGCATGCCACATTGGCAATTATCAAAGGTGCCTGTCTCTTTTTACTCCAACTGCTTAAATCCCTGATTTTTGTTTTGCTGTTTTGCAGGTGACACTCGAAAGATCGATTTGTTTTCCGCAGAGGCTGGGAACCGTGTGTACTACTCTCACCTGACGTTGACATGGGGCTTCATTGCCGACTGTGACATCGAGTCTGAGGCATATCGTTGGGTCGGAAGCGAGCGGGTGACTGTTGCCGCTCTAGTGCGTGTTGCGAACTTGAGGCGGTACCACGGAAGTTTGTACGCTATTCCAGTAGACGACAGCGAGATTCCTTCCGCGTACAGGCCTTTCCAGAATTCGTTCAAGCGACGTCAGAGCGGAGGCGGGTCATCAAACCGTGAGGCGGCCACTAAAGCAGCGGCTGTCTTGGAAAAAGCGAGAGCCAAGCGGGATGCATTAGCCCAAAATGGAGATGACCCTATCGCCAAGTTTGAACGCTTTGGTCCTGTCAGGTCTCACGCGAGTGATGATTTTACCAAATGTGAGTGATTTCAAAACAGGATTAATGATAACATGTAACACTCTTCGCCTTAGACGCTATTGCTATCGAAGAAGAAACTTTTACAACATTGACCATTTGCAAGGCTCCATGGCCAGCATTGGACTGGCTGGTTTGCAAGTACGCCCGCCTTTCTGACGGCTGCATGCATGTTCTCGCTAGTGGTGTTCAAAGCCGTCAAGAAATTCTGGGAGATCTCTTGGACCGGCTTACTGGAAACGGCCCCGACCTTCCTCACTACAGCTACTTCCGAGCGAAGGCTATTTATTTCTTCCCCACTTCCAGGTCGGAGGTGAATGAAGCCAAGCGATCAAAGTCCCTTGGTCGCCGTTTTATCAAGGAAGAAGGGGCAGGTGGTCCTCCGCCATTTCAGCGCAAAGGGTCATACGCTGCTTCGATCAACAGTACGACTTCCTCGAACTCATCGGTTTTGCTTCCAGACCGTGCGGAGCTTAGAGAAGCACACAACCACGGCATCATTTCTCTTAGTGGCGAGCATATTCCATTTGGTCCCATTCGAATGGAGATCCATCCAAACATTCTCAAGGTCGTTGCTCCGATTTGGCTTGATGAGGATGTGAACACGTCTCCAAACGCCGGAGAGAGGACGATGGCGGACGTGGTGGTTGATTGGATCAAGACGTGCGGTGGCCAGCCGTGAAATATCGGGCCAAGGTGGCCACGATGTCCCATTATCTTTTTCTTTTTCGTTTACATCCATTTGAACTTTTTCGCGTCTCTGGTTGCTTTCTTTGGTTTGCTTCCTTCCTGCCAACGTATTCGTGGCGCCAGCTTAATGTCCACTCCAGCTTTCTCTTTTGGCTTTTAAATGGACGTAATCTCGCCAACATCGCCACCCAAGCCACTCAAGCCACTCAAATTTTTGACACAACAAACTGCTATATAAACTCGACCCCCCTTCTAGCAAAGGAAACCAGAGGCCACTTCCACACAGAAATGGATTTGTCACTTTCACTTCCTAAAACGACAATGATTGTATCCGCTCATAGAAGACAACCAACGCAGTCTGGACATGGAGTTTGTTTCACGCTGCCTTGGTTATCTGTCTATTTGAATATCGAACACTAGATGTGCAGATCCTATCTGGTATGATTTTGGTACAATATGAGGTCTTATTAATCCTAGACCGAGTAATATCTCGCTCAAGGATTAACTTTGATCTCACACTAACAACAATTTCACTATAGAACATTATGTTTCTATGATAATGAGAGAAGAAAGGAAAAAAAAAACTAAATATGGACAAAAAAAATAAACAAACTACCATGTTACTAACCCATATCATCAAACTTTTCTCCTTCCTTTCCCATTTTTTTCCACACGTTTCTTCAAAGTCCAGCAACACAAATAGCACTAAGTAAAACGAATCACTTACAGTTGCCGCGCGCCCGCTCCTCTACTTCATAAACAAATCTTACTCGCTACATTACTGATCACTCGCTACATTACTGATCAGTATTGAATAAATAGAACTGGATTCGAGAACGTCAACTAGTAACAACAAGACTTCATCCATCAATGCCAGTTTTAATAACTTGGATGTTCGCAGCAATGTGATCAACTCCAACACATCGTGTGGCGCGGACTCCAACTATGACGTGCACGAATGTTTTGATCACTGGGGCGAGCTCTGGCATCGGCCGTCAACTTGCACTGGTATGGAATGGAATACGTCTCTCCATCAACTTCTCAAACACGATGTTCAGGAGTATGCAGAGGATTACTCTCGGCTGTTCAAGTCGTCAAATTTAGCCGAGGAACAGGCTGATGGTCCCGCAGTGTGCCTTGGTCTCGTTGCGCGACGCTTGGACGAGCTCGAGAAACTTAAAGAAAATATCCTTGCAAAGTTTCCTAATGTGCAAGTCGAGGTGCGCACATTTGTTCGGTCTTCTAAACTTCAATGTGAACATATCACGAACTAGGTCGCCAAATTAGATGTGACAGATGTCCCTGCCGTATTCGATGTGCTCACAACTTTGGTCTCAAATATGCCTGATGGGTTGCTGGACGTTGCGATCGTGAATGCTGGTATTGGAACCAATGGCAAGCTGGTGGGGACGGGTTTGCGGAGTACGATGCTGCATGTTCAGGTCCTGCAGACCAACATCGTCGGCGCATACGCTGTGATCGCGTGGGCAGTAGAACATTTCCGCAAAACGCGCCGAGAGAACAAAGCCCTCATCAAGGAGCGCGGGAGGCCGTTGGTCGCTGCAATTGGGTATATGCAAGCAGAAGATTCACATGGATTTGGACTGATATAATCTATAACAAGGTCTGTTGCACAGTACGGGGCTCTCCCGACTAGCGTTGCGTACTCTGCAAGCAAGGTCGCTCTGGACCATGTAATGAAAGGCACACGTATCGAGAATCTCAGACACGACAGTTACATTGACTTTTCGCTGATCAACCCTGGATTTATCGACACCCCAATCTCACCAGACAATAAGAAGATGCCTTTTGGTGAGTCTCACTACTGGCTTGGACCCAACGCTTCATGTATCTTGTTGTTTCCAGTTATACCCGCATCGAAAGGAGGCTGGCTTATCTACAACGCCATTCAGCGGAGGAGTCGCCGTTCTGAAGTACCATGGTTCCCTTGGGCACCAGTCTCTTTACTCATGCGAAACTTGCCGACCGATCGACTGTACAGTTTCTTTGTGCCTGCACCACCGAAATCGAACCTCTAATAAACACGACTAGTATCAGCACATTAGTGGCTTCAAGCGAATTGACGAGAAAGTGTACGCTGAAGATCCTAGCTCAGTCATTGTCATGGTGTCTGGCTCAATGCTCTGTCCACCGAATTCAATGGCTGGTTGACAATAAATACAAGCTGAGAGTGAGAGAAAATAACTTGCTAGTTGACTGTCCTGATAAAGATGCGGGTAAGCATAATTGACAGCCGACAAACAAAATATTCGTTTTCCGATTAAATGCTTCCTAATGTAATTATTATTAGACGCACCCGAGAAGGGTCTCGATCCCTTAGCCTTGAGATTAAAAGTCTCACGCTCTACCAATTGAGCTACCCGGGTTGTCAATTTTTTTCTGCTCCTACTAATCCGACTGCTCCCTCTGCTCCCCCACAAGCGCTAGGCTGCTCATCTGTTGCGTGAACCTGCTGTCTTTCAAGCAATGGAGAATGTGGGACATTTTTTTTTCCATCCCACCCTTGCTGATGTCAATGCTGCACTCAGTTCAATTTTAGAAGCTCCCGCCCTTGCCCAAATGTCTGTGGGTTGCACAGGGATGTATTGACTCTGCATTGGATATTATTTTGTCCTTTGTTACTTCGTGTGCTGCTTGTGTCATTGGACCCCCCAGTTTAGTTCGCCGTCGCCCTTCCCTGCCATTGTTATGTTGTTGCCCCATTTAGTGGCCTTGCGACGGAGCTACTTTCTTGCTCATAAGCACTTTTTAGCTGTTTCTTCCTGTGATGATCCTGATCCTGTTTTAGTTGAGTATTGCTGCTTGGAGCGTGACCGGCTATCGCGTGAGCGTGTCAAAGCTTTTCGTACTTGGTCTCTTTCTCAGCGAGCTCGAGAGGCTTCTGTCGACAATATGTTTAGTTCTTCTCCTAGTTCTTTAACCGAGGTTAGCAAAGTTCTTTCCACCGCATGTAGGTGTCATCAACGGCGCTCAGCTGCAAGTGGTTTATTGTCTGAACCCTGCCTCTTTATCTCATTATCGCAATCACTTTGCCTCCGTTTATCAGACTCAGTTTGCACAATCCTCTGCCAGGGCAGAACACGTTCGTCCACATGCGCTGAATGATTCTGTGTCAGTTAGTGTTAGTGACTTTGTTTGTGCTATTTGTTCTTCCCCAAACAACTCTGCTCCTGGCCCAAACCATATTCCAGCTGAGTTATTTAAGCCGTTAGCTTCTGATGTTGCTATTCTTTTTGTTCAACTTTCAAAAGCTATTTTCCGCTCAGGTTTGTCACCCTCTGCCTGGAATGCTGGCTTGTTGTTACCTGTTTGGAAGAATGAGGGTTCCATTGGTGATATTAGTCAGTACCGCCCGATTACTTTAACCAATGTTGATAGAAAAATCTTTGAGCGTACCCTGCTTCCTATGCTTGTAGCTTATGTTGGTAAACTTGATCCCGCCCAAGCTGGTTTCCAGGCCAATCGTTCAGGTGTTGAGTGTGTTTTTGCATTAGATGCTACCCTTCGACGGGCTTCCCGCACTGCTCTGCCTTATTGTGTTACTTTCTTAGATATTAAAGCAGCGTATGATACTGTGCATAGGCCTCTTTTGTGGGAACATCTTCGTCAATTTCCCAGAATTCCAAACTGTTTGATCTCTGTTTTGATGAGTATGTTTGATTGTTGTTCTTCTCAGGTTGTTATAGAGAATCATGCTTCTGATGTGTTTTCGCTTCCACGAGGTCTTTTTCAAGGTTCTGCTTTGTCTCCGTTCTTGTACTCAGTTTTCATCAATCCTTTAGCACAGCTCCTTCGTCGTGAATCCTCTCATCTTGCTAGGTTTTCTTATAACACTCCTGTTTTCAATTCGTTGTTTTTTGCTGATGACATAGCTTTGTTTTCTGCCACCCCTGAGCAAGCCCAACGTGCATTGAAAATTCATTGCTTTAGCTTCTCATTTTGTGTTTTCACCTTCAAAGTGTGCTGTGTTATCTTCTCAATGGTTACCCAACCCCTTGAAGCTTCATGGCTCTGCCCTCCCTGTCGAGGTTTCATTTAGATACCTTGGTCACTATTTTACTATTGCAGGGTTTGATCTTGCCGCAACTATTGATCATCGCTTAGAGAAAGCTCATGCCTCATTGCATCTTTTTGCACCTTATGTCTCGTACTTTGGTGGGTCTGCTCCTCGTGTTGCCAGGTTGTTGTTTTTTGTCTTTTATTAGACCTTCACTTGAGTTTGGTTTAGCACTTATTCGGCCTTCCACTGCTCATCTTCAGGTACTCGAGCGTTTTTGTTATCATGCACTGTGTCGTCTGTTTTCGCTAGCCCATACCACTTCGCGTGTTGGTTTGTTGCTGTTTGCGCAAATTCCTACTTTTGAGTTCAGGCTGAAGTACCTTCAGGCACGTATGTTTGCTCGCTGGTCTAGTGATTGCGGCCCTCTGTTACCAGCTGCTGTGTTGCAATTCTATCGGTCATATCCAGTCGGTTATGGTTCATCTCCTTATTTTTCCGCTTGTCACAATGATCTCATTGTTCCTATGCCTGTTGTGCCCCCACTTCATCCGTTGATGTTGCATTTTCAGTCTTTAGCTGTTGCGCATAATGGACCAATTGCAGTTTCGTTTGCCCCTGTCCGCAATTTGAAACTTCGCCACCCTTTGTTGCTACCCCCACACCAACATCTCCCAACAGTGTGTCTTTGTTTGTTCCTGCTATATCGGCTTGGCCGCCTGTTTCCAAACCCCCGACCTTATTGTAGGAACTGTCATGATGCCCCTGAAGTGTCGTGTGCCCATGTCTCTGTGTGTCTACATTTGTGTGCTAGTTTGTCTGCTAGTTTTGATTTGGGCCTGCCTGACGATCCCCGCCTACCTCTTGACATTGCAATTGATATGCTTTCACCACGGCCTTTTTATACTTCCCCTGCTTTTTCCAGTGGGTCCTTGTTCTTCGTGCACTTAACCGCAGGTCAAACTGTCTTGGTTATGACCTAGTTTTGTCTCCCGCTCCTGATTCTATCTTGTCTGCTTTTGTTAGTTTGGATATGCCTTAGTGTTATGAAACATTTTAATTTTCCTACAGCTCGCAGGGCTCCCCATGTGCTGCCAATTTACGTGTATTTTTACACTTGTATTTGGATTTTGCACCAGCGGGTGATATGTATTGGTTGGAAAGCAATACATATTATGAAAAAAAAATCCTTTATTCGAAAGAACGTTTCTATAAATGATATTTTTTAAAACAACAGAATCTAATATGATGGATTTTATTGACAAAATTAACAATAACACCAATTAATGTGCCGAAGCGTGGATGAACGTACTTTCAGTGCGCGATGACGGTTTTTCAAAGGATGCCTATGTCCCTCGTGATTGAAAAATCTACTCGCATGTTGAATTGAAGTATTTTCATAGTTTGTAGGGTCAACATTCAAAGTAACATTCCAGGCCTTCAGTTTATGTGCAAACTCGGATCATCTCTTTCCTCCAATACGACTTGGTGGCAAGGGCCGAGCGATTGGATTGTTTATGGGCAGTGGAGAGTTGTACGGCCCCGGTAATGGCCTGGTCACTCCTTGCACGAACGGTTGTCGAACAAGCACAGATGGACCAGCCATCGGTCTTGGCGTAACGCTCATCGGTGGAAGCGGATAAGTCCGAATTGGTGGCATCGGTGGTTGAAGCCCCATTTGAATGTACGTCTGAGTTTGATTCGGGACTACGAGGTACGGAGCTCTCTGATATTGAACCGCCTGCGGCGCGGGCTCCATTGGAACAGCGTACTGCGCAAATCGTGGGGTTTGCATCTCCAGAGCCTGGAAACTCATAACTGGAGTCGGAGCTCTCTGATATTGAACCGCCTGCGGCGTGGGCTCCATTGGAACAGCGTACTGCGCAAATCGTGGGGTTTGCATCTCCAGAGCCTGGAAACTCATAACTGGAGTCGGAGCAAAGTGTGGTTGTTGCTGATGCTGACGCGACACTGGAACCGGCATCATAACGTAAGCTTGGGAAAGATCCTCTGGGCATCTGATGATCGGCACTTGTCGACCAATGTTCGGCATTGAAGGAGTCGAGGAGAATGATGGTTGGGTATAGGGAAGGCTGACAAATGAAAGAGCTGGTGTCGTAGGGGCGATGCTACTGCTCTCGTACATGGCGTTGATAGACATTGGAGTTTGAGGAGGGGTGCGTGGCATTCTGTAATTTGGATGAGGGGTTATTGACCTTGAAGTCGATCTTGGAGGGATGTTTATCTGTGTACCACTCCGTCCCCGCTCAGGTTCACGGGATGAGGGGTCATTTGGGTGTGCCCTTTCAGCTCGCTGGAGGTATCCAGGTGTGGGAGGCACTCTATATCTTGGACGAGGGCTGATTGGTCTCAGACCGAAGTTTAGTGAAGTGACAAATTTCTCAGGATCCCTTCGTCGCTCGGGTTCGGCAACTGGGATCTCGCCGCTACTGAAATGCACTCCATCTGTTCGTTTGTTTTCCTGAAAAGGTCGACGCGAATAATCGCCCAATGGCCGCCGTCCCAATCTCTCAAAAAACATGTTGTCTCGTTCGACGGAACGCTTTTCATCCCACCGAACTTCATCCCTTGTTTCTGATGGCTGACGTTGACGATCCAGACTTCGATAGTCGAATTTGTCTGACCTGGTACCGAAGTTTGCAATAACGCGATTGGTAGCCTGTTGGTGTTTTACGTTGCGCTCAATCGAATAACCGAATGCTTGTTCATCTGAACGATTACGATCCCATCGAACTTTGTCTCTTGGCTGCCTGCGTCGGTCAAGACTGTGAAATTCTGGGTCAGCTGAGCGCTCACGATTCAAGTTAACATCATCCCTTGTTTCAGATCGATCCCGGGAACGACCTCGATATTCGAATCCATCTGATCTGGTGCCAAAGTTCGACGAGACCTGATCAGCTGATTGTTGAAATCGCATGTTGCGCTCTAGCGAAGAATTGTACATTCGTTCAGCTGATCGATTACGATACCATCGAAATTCCTCTTCTGTTTCTGATGGCCACCGGCGTCTGTCGACACCGTTGTAATCTTGGTCAGCTGAGCGCTTCCGATCGAAGCTACTATCCTCTCTCGTTTCAGTTCCACGCATTAAGCGATCCAAACTTCGACATTGGAATCCATCGGATCTAGTGCCAAAGTTCGCGGGGCTAATCGGATAAAACATCCGCTCTAATGAGCCGCTTGGGTTGACCAATGTGCTCTTTGAGCTAGCCGACAATATGGAAGAAGAATTGTTCTGCTTAGGAGACTTCCCCTCGGTTTTGCGATGGTCAAATTTGCCTCGATATGGGGTCGATTTACTTTGCTCGCTCAGTTCCTGATCCTTAAGCCTTCTAAGTGCATCTTCCA